TATTCTATCTCGATATTTCTCTGAGTAAACAATGAAAAGCACTATACATATATATTTGTATGGTTGGTTAGAAAATTAGAGGGATAAATTGTAAAGGAGAAACCAACATATGTTATTAGATAAAAATATTGTCCTACTTTTTTTTAAGATTACGTTTTTGTAACACGTTTAATGTTGTTAATAATTTATTATTTTTTATTATTTATTCTTAGTTTATTTATATAAATTATAATTTTTATTTTATTCATTACATTTAGTCTAACTTTTTGTTTAAAATACAAGGAATTAAGTATTAATAAACAAAATATAAATAAATAATAATATAAAAGAATCTACGAAGTCATGTATATTTTTTTACATTTTCACCTTCGTTACTTTTTTTTATCGTTACAGATATATTTTTTCTACTTTATAAAATTGAAATTTTAGCTGTGTTTTTGTTTTTCCTTTATGTATGTAACATTTATGTCAGGTTGTTTAAATTCGTAAGTGAAATTTATTTCATAGTTCCTAAAAGTTCACTAGATAAAATATCTCATGCTGTTTTTGTTCATAAAAACAATAAAGAAAGTAAAATTAGTTACTCTTCTGTGATACTTTTTGCAATAAATTTCTATCAATTTTTTTTTTTTTTTATTTAGATATTTTATAAATATGTTTTTATTAACATTATTCTAAATCAGTAAATTAATAATATTGTTAATAAAAATATGTTTATAAAGTATCAAAATAAAAAAAAAAAATTGATAAAAATTTATTGTATATAAAATGAATATAAATTTGTCTCAATGTATGAAATTTCAATGACGATAATTTAGAAATCAAAACTTTAGAATTATGACAACCATATGTATTTTACATCTGTTCCGTGAAATGGATTCGAATATCACACTTCACCGTGTGTGTGTTATATATATATATATAACATTGATTACAGTCGCTCATACTGTGACACATATCAGTAGTAAATAGTCGATTACTCTCTCAGTTCGAAGTAGAAGTCTCGATATCGTACTCGTATTCTGTAAAATTTCACCATAGTGTGAGGATATGAAGAGAACGAAAAAAATAATTGTAAAAAACAACGACAGAAAAAGAAAGGGAGAATGTTTTTTTCTCTCGTAATCACAGTTATTTAGTGACACATTTCGACGTCTCAGTTGCTGTTTCATAGTTCATTGCAAAAAAAAGAAAGACAAGAAAATAGTACTAAAATTAAAAAAAATACACACAGGTAAGTGAGGAAGGGGACCCACTTGACGTGAAAAAGACACAAAAGAGAGAAAAAATGGAACCTCAAGTAAAAAAGAAAGAAAAATAGAGGGGAAAAAAAAAGATTTTCGTTACAATCAACACAATGAGCTTTTCTTTCTATTCTTATGCATATATAAAAGTTACACTAGTCATTGTCAGACGCACACATACGGAAGTATCGCAATTAATCATGCTAATTCTGAAATAAAGATAGGAAGGAGGATTGTTAACGCTTGAGATGTGGTTCTAAAGTAAACAGTGAAAAAGTGAGCTTTTTGTGTGTGCGCTTATTCTTGAAGAATATAGACATACTATAAAAACAATGAAAATGTAAGGGGAAAAAATTCTTAAGAACAGTCGCATTTCATTTAGAAAAAAGATTTTTCCTTTTAAATTTCATAAAGACAACAAAGCACTTTGTTGATAGAATATATATTGTAAGTTATTATGTTTGATTTTAAAGAAACGTAAGTTATTTAAAAAAGGTTTATATTTAATGCGATATTTATTTAATTTTGAATATTTTAACTTAATGGAAATTTATCTAAAGCAAAAAATGAAGATTCTTCACATTTTATTATTACCTATTTCAATTCTTCTAATTATCATCTTTAACATTTTATAATTTTATTTTCACTAATTCTCAGGAGTCCACTCGAGAACTAATCTTTAAATTAAGCTTCTTCCTCCTTCAAGAACCATCTCGACATCTTTTCTTATATTGATGATGTAAGATTTTAACTTAAATACTTGATTAATTTCTTGTTTTTCTTTGATTAATTAATTGTTGAGTCTTGTAGCATAAGACAATTCGACAGAATCTTCAAAGTGTCCTTGCCTCATGGCACGTTCATCTTACCTGTAGGCTGTCGAACGCGGTAATTGAGCGTAAATTATGACGTCACGCCAGTCGTGTTACTAATTGGCCAAGTCAAAATGCTTTGCACATGGTGAGCAGTACTTCTATGTTCCAGTTGATCTGTGGTGTTTACAGTTTGATCGCGTCGTCTAGACATTATTTATCGTTGATTTGGTTCTAAGGCTTTACAGCGGCAGTTTTTCCATTCCTGCTCCATTTCGGAGCTTTGGTATAGTGAAGAGGCTTGCCAAATCACCGGCGTTTCTCTATGTCGCGTAGTGGTTTCACTGAAAAGTAGATATTGCTTTAACATCGGGAATATAGTCCTACATGGACCTAAAAATCCCAATTGGTTCAGTCGACTTAAACGCAACTTTGCGCTTTATTTAACCTTAAACCAAAATTAGACTACTTATAATACAAAATATACGATAGAATTTTCAAATGTCATTTATAGATCACTATTTTGATTTTTTCGAAAAATCATTGCTGCTTTAATAGTTTTTCTTTAATTTTCGGTCATATGGAGAATTTATTTTATTTATATTATAGCGTTTCTGATTGTTCAAACTACTTAATATTAAACAATGAATTTAAAAATTTAATTATTAAGAGAATGTTTGGAATTTATTATGAAATGAAAAAAACATGAATTTATCTTTTGCAGAAAAGACTGAAATAACGCAAGCACGTCAAATGTATAATGAATACGTTTCTATTGGAATGCGAAACCACCAGTTACATGCAAATCCCATTTCCGAAAACTTGTAATTTCGTTTGCTCGACCAGCTTACCTCGACGGAACACGCGAATGCTTCCGAATATCCTGTTAAATATTTTATGATTATATACTGACTTGTTAATGATTTATTTATAAATTGCTTGTTCACATGAATGTGTTTATAAAACTTATTAAAGTTTCATTTATATAATAAACAGATATACATTATAAGCTCAATAAACTTTTACATTTATTATACTAATGAAATTCACGTAATCATATGGGACTTTAAAATTACATTTTATCATTTAACGTACATATATTTATAATCCATTGAAACGTATAACGTAAATATATAAACAATTTTAATTACAAGTAATGAATAACTAGCAATTTACGTCCTTAGGTCGCAAAGCATGTTTGGACCGCAATAAAAAAAGACATACTCTAGTATTTCATAAAACTATGGAAAAGGAAATAAAAGGTTCTCAAACACTTCAAAAACATGGTTCTTAACTAAATAAACTACTGCTATCCACTACTTTTTAGAATAGAAAAATTAATTTCTAATGATTCTCCAATTGTATTCTATTTCCATTTTTTTAAAAAGAAAATAAAGATACAAGCCTTCAGCTGCAAACATCCTCAAAAAAAAAGATGTACTATCTGTGAGTGTATCTATATGACCTTTTAGAGAGTTTTTTTTTCTATACGAAGTGAAAGCGGTATAAGGTTGATTGAGTGGAAAAAGCCTATGTAACTATTTCCAGCTACCTACTCATTAGAAATTCACTCTGCGTAAGCAAGAAATAGACGGGATGATGAGGGATATGGTAGGTGTGTGTACAAGTACATACACACACTGTCGAGGTGAAATAAGACTTGGGGTGAAAGCATGAAAAAGATATGAAGAAATAGAAGGAAATGCTAACCGAGGGTTCGTGCTACACAATAGATTTTCTGAAACGATTAACATTTTACAGAATTATTGATTTATTTGCAAATCATAATTAGAAGGGGAAACACGTTTCAAGATAAAGATCAAAAATTTTAATATTTCAGTATATAAAATTAGCTCCTCATGAATGTAGGACGTCTCATTAAAAACACTTTTCCAAATAAAAATTTACATATATTTATTTTTTATTTACTTAAAAAAAATCCCCTAAAACTAATATTATCTTTTGATCGTTATATATATATATAAATTTCCAGTAAATTACTAAAACGATGTTCCACTTATAATAGGAAATACATATCTACCATGAAAATTATTAACATAAGAATTGTTTTCCATCGAGTTTTTATTTATGCTTCCCCTTACGTCTTTAGAAATTGAAAATATACCTTTTCCTAAGTGCATATGCATGTCAGCCAAAAAGAGAGTTAAGAGCTTCCTCTCCCTCAGGCGAAGGATAGAATAAAGTATGCGATCGTGCCTTAAGGTCGAGGCTATCAGCTAAAAGGTGTATAGACCAACTAAACTCATGTATCGATCTTGACTTTTTCTTTTTTCTTCTCTCAAATAAGTTCTTCCCTATAGTCATCCCTTCAATATCAAAAGATATAAGCATTTAATATAAAAAAGTTTTCATTCTTGTCATGTGAAGATACGTGTCATCCCATCTGCTTTACATCCTTTTAAAAAAACATTTTCAGATTTAACAAAAAAACTAGGACGATATTTTTCTCACAATTACTATTACCTATCGTTTTTTTTTTTTTTTTTTTTTTTTTTTTTTTTTTTTTTTTTTTTTTTTTTTTTTTTTTTGGTTTTCCTTAGTTTGTTTTTTCCTGAAAATAAAAGACATTAACGAAAAACCTTGTAAAGAATTTCGTAACATGTTTAAAGTTCGTCAACTTTTTCTTCAAAAAAAAAAAAAAAGTTCCTCTGCTTGGCCAAAAAGGTTTTCTCTGTTAACTTTCTTTTCCATTTAATTTTTCAACTTTATTAAATAATGGTTAAAAGAGATATACGAGAGGAAATTCAATCAAGTATGCGAAAAAGATCACACCTTCAAAAGAAAAAACGATGCTTCTTGGTAAATTGATTCTTCACCAGCATCTGTTGGAGGATTTAAATCTCTTTTCCCCCTTTAAAGAAGATATTTCTTTTGCGTTTTCTTTTGAAGCTAATTAATTTTAACAATTTATTTTCTTTTTCAGGCAATACAATACAAGATGAGGATCTAAACAAAGGGACAATACACCGTCATAATGAAAACACTCCTGATTCTGGTGACTCTCGTCTTAGAGATTCAACTTTACATCACGGGTGAGATAAAAATTTCTCTTTTGTCATTTCATTTTAATTCAAAATTTTTTTTCTACTTTCATCAGGAATTTGTCATCAATTTAAAGTAGAACTTATCTAAAATCAATTTATATTTATGTATTTCATGAGAAAACTTTATAGAATTTGCAAAACTATTTTAACAATCAGTAAATCATATCACAAAGAAAATAAAGAATATTCCTAGAGAAAATTTTCAATAAATCTGTATATATGCGGAACATTCAAAGTTTGGAATAAAGCCTTGGGAGCATTAACCGTTTGGAATCGATTCTCATATATGAAATAAATTATACGTTTGGTCATTTAAATAACTGGAATGGGTCCAGTAAATACACAGCCAACTCTCTATTCTTTTTGTTTGTGAAGATTTATTTTATGAATACAGTCTTCGTCTGGAAACATACACATACACATAGATAAAAAAAAGAGAACATGAAGAAAGAAAGTCTTCCGGTTGTCGAGCGGTTTGCCAAGCTCATCGTAGCAAACTTCCCTGCTTACATTCCAACTGAGTCATTTTCTCGTCGGCCCAAAAAACACTTAATACACTTTGCTCAGTGGATGTCTGACAAGTAATTTCCGGTTATCGTGTTGCCCAAAACCACCAAAACTTTAGTCTCGTTAACTCAGTTGAAACTTTTGCTGTGTCTACAAATGGGCTACTGTTTAATTTAATTTTCCTTGTTCTAACTGCTTCAATGTTATCGCTGTCAAGACGAGTAATTTTTTTGTTCCTTTTGTTTTTACACATTTGTCACTACCTTTTAGGAAATACTAAAAGATATAAGAAACTCAGTAAATTTTATTGTTTACTTAATTCTATTGTACTATTTCAATCTCCTATTTTAAAAAACGAGACGTGTAATTGCCTAATTTCAAGTGTAGACACCTATCTTTATTTATTTTTTTTTGCGCAAGGGCAAACGTGGAAATCTGCTACACCAAGGAGGGAATTGCAACTCCAAGGATCAGACCGTTCTGGAGGCGCACTCTACACCTATCCTTATTGGTAGAATTCAAAATTATGAATTGTGATTGCTCAAAACTGACGTCATACTTTCATCAGATACTTGCAGCTAATTTCAAGTGTAGACACCTTTCTTTATTGGTTATTTTGCACATTCTTCTCAATTTTTATTTGGTTAATTTTTCTAATTTCAAAATAAAATTTAATATTTTTTAAGGTGCATAAATAGAATAAATATAACAGAGGGGATGAGCCTGTGCATTTGGTGACGGTAGGCACATGATAGCACTACTGAAAAAGTTGTGTATTTTTGTGTCAGTTTTTTATTCATTGTGAGTGATTACAGTGTTTTCAGTATTCAGGATAATGTTTTGTGGTAAGAAAAATTGAAGAATTAACTTTGTAATTAATTGTTAGTGATTATAGTGTTTACATTATTCATGATATTTTTTTTGTGAGAAAAAATTGAGTGTTAGTTTTTAATTAATTGTTATAGTGATTTCGGTATACATGATAATTTTTTTTTGGTGAGAAAAAATTGAGTGATAATTTGTAACTAATTATCAGTGATTACAGTGATTTCATTATTAAATTTTTTTTTGTATTTTTACTGTGATTTCAGTTTTTGTGTTAAAGAAGTTATGAACTGGGTAAGAAAAATGTATTGTATATTGTATTCTTTTTCTTTGTTATTGTGATATTTAATTGAAATTATCTTTTTACTATAATTTGATAAGAAAATTTTTGAGATGATTAACTTGATCAACGTAAAGATGTATTTAATCATGGTCATACAGAAAAAAAGATGGGTAAAAAATTGTAAAGATAGAGGATAAAAGTCGTTAGGATACAGGGTAAAGGATAAATTTGTGATGGATAAAAATGTTTCTAAAATATTACTAGAAAAATGGATGTCATATTTGAGTAAACTGTCTAATTTTAATAAAAATATTAGTAATTTTACACTTAACTTATTAAATCCACAAATTTTTAATAAATAAGTAATTGCATGTAGAAATATTTTGCCTATAATTATTGTCTATTAATAAAAATATCTTTGACTAATACAACTGACAGCTGACGACAGTGCGTAAATAATCAGAACTGGGAAATTATAACTCAACGTCTGTATTGTTGCACAAAAGCAGAGTTGGGTAGTAACTGAATAACAACAAACAAACGACACAATGTTATTCTTACGGGGAAGAAAATTTGTTTCCACTTTCATCAATTTTATTCATACTTTAAACACGGAAAACGCTTGTTGACATATAATAAAATTAAAATGTGTGTTGATAATTAATTTTGTTATATATTTGATTCAATTGCATTGATAGATTCTCTGAATTCGTGATAAAATATAAATTTTGAGGTTAGGGGTGTTTGTTTACTAACTTGAAATCTTTTACTGCTGCGGTAATTCCCACTTATAATATATATTTTATATCTTTTTTAATAACATGCATACTGGATATTGTTTAATAATGTTAAAATGTAAAATGTGATTAGTAAACAAACTTTTCTAACCTCAACATTTATATTTTATCACGAATTCAGAGAATCTATCAATGCAAATGAATCAAATATATAACAAAATTAATTATCAACACACATTTTAATTTTATTATATGTCAACAAACGTTTTCCGTGTTTACAGTATGAATAAAATTGATGAAAGTGGAAACAAATTTTCTTCCCCGTAAGAAGAACATTGTGTCGTCTGTTTGTTGTCCCTCCAGACCTCTGACGTCATATCTTGAACTTGAAATATCTCGATGAACTGACACAGCCTAATATGCACAAAAAATTCAGTTACTACCCAACTCTGCTTTCGTGCAACAATACAGACGTTGAGTTCTAATTTCCCAGTTCTGATTATTTACGTACTGTCGTCAGCTGTCAGTTGTATTAGTCAAAGATATTTTTATTAATAGACAATAATTATAGGCAAAATATTTCCACATGCAATTACTTATTTATATAAAATTTGTGAATTTAATAAGTTAAGTGTAAAGTTAATAATATTTTTATTAAAATTAGACAGTTTACTCAAATATGACATCCATTTTTCTAGTAATATTTTAGTAACATTTTTATCCATCACAAACTTATCCTTTACCCTGTATCCTAACGACTTTTATCCTCTATCTTTACAATTTTTTACTCACCTTTTTTTCTGTGGCAATTATATGTTGCATTGTCACAAATTCGGTCCTGGGATTCTCTCAAATTTTTCTTGGAAGTCAACGAACATAAAATATTGTTAAAAATTATGTATATATTATACATAGTTATACATTTAAAATTAATAAATAAATTTTATGATTCGTTCAAACCTTTATGTTATTAAATTACAAAAAAATAACATGCGCGCACAAGCTTGTGGTCTGTCTCGTATTTCAAAATTAAAGATAGTTTCCAAAATACTAATAATAAATTGAAAACATCTGCGAACTATCAGAAGCCTACTAGTTCTACTAGCAGACAAAAGTAAAGGGAGATATGACTTCTTAGTATTACTTATATTATTATAAAATTTTTATTAAAAAATTTTTTTTTACTTCTGTAACCAATTATTTTTCAAAATATTTTATCAGCCATAGCTCACTATCATACAGATAGGTTAGTTTCTCCCTCCCACACACATACGACAATATGACTATAAACGACGAAATATACATATATCACATTGTAGGCTGCTTGTTAGAATTGTTTAATTTTATTTTTATAAACATTTATAGTTTCTTCACTTTACACAGACTGATTTAATTTCTTATTTCGTCGTTATTTTCTTTTTTGTGAAATCCTTTTTAGGTAGTAGGGATCCCCTCAAGATGTCTCCACTTTAGTGTAGTAATTATAACAACCCTTTATAATAATTAAAAGAAGAAACCTTTTGTTTTTGAAGGTGAATTAGAAGACAAACAGTAACAGTGGTTGATTTAAACAAATATTGCCAATCATTTATATAAACACAGATGTCTAAAAAATAATAAACATAGAAGAGGTCGACCTAATTAGGTCAAAATGAAAATATTTCCTTTGCAGTGTAAAAAATTCTTTAAACGCAGAAATAATGAAAATAAACTATGTTGGAAATAAATTCATGAGAGACTCTTAATAAAATATATATATTTATTTTAGTTAACTCTTCATGCTTTTTAATACATTTGAAAGGTTTTTGAGATATTTTATTTTTCACTCTATACATACCATGTTTACTCAAAACCTTACTGTTTTGATAACTTTTTCGAACAAATTGCTTCATTTTGTAAAATGTTCTAGGAACGGTGTAGCTTACTATGTTATTTGGAGCGGTATTTAAAGCTCAGATTCACATAGGCTTTAGGCCGCATTTTGCGGTGTTCGTTAAGTGCATAAGCAGCACTTGAGGTGCATTCTCAACAGCTGTAGCTCTCGTCAAAGTCTGAGTAGGTAATCAGCAGTCACTTAGAAAATCGTCTGCTAAATGCTCTAGACTAGAAAATTGTTCTCGAAATATTTTTTATACTCCTGCAATAGTCAAATCATTTAATATAAGAAAACAGTAAGAAAAGTCAGTAAAAATAAATGACAAGAGGAAACGAAAAAATATTTTGATTTTACACACGAAAAATTAAAAAGCTATAATGTGTCTTATGATCAGAGAGAAATGTTCTTTTTTTTCAGAAATAAGAACTAAGGTTAATCATCTACAATAACAGTATTTAAAATAACTTTTTCTTTAGATCACTTGTTGAACAAGTAGGGGGTCCTTTATGTTTATTTCATAAACATTATGCTTCCTCATTGTGTGAAGCAAAAAATTCGCTTCCTCGTGAAGGAATCAATGAATTTGTCCAATTCAATTGATTGATTTAAAAACTTTCGAATTAAAAATGTTTTAAATTAATTAAATTTTTTGAAAAATAAAGAAAATTTTAATTAATTTTGAGTGTAACATAAACTTTATATATACGAATCGATTCGTTTTAATGCAAGGAATACAATTATTTTATTCATCAACTTGAATTAAAAAAAAACACAAAATTTTTTAGCTAAAATATGAATTTTCGATTTTTCAATTTTTATTAATTCTCAAATTTTAAATCAAATCTATACTTTATATATACCAACCAATTCGTTTCAATGCAGGGAATAAAATTATTTCATATATAAACATGAATTTAAATAAACACATCATTTTTTAGCTAAAATGAGAATTTTTGATTTTTTAACTTTCTTTAATTCTTTAAATTTCAATCAAATCTATACTTTATATATATCAATCGATTCATCTTGACATAAAGAAGACGATTATATTATATATTACCTTAAATTTTTCGATTTAAAAATTTTTTCAATTAAAAAAAATTTTTTGGAAAAAAGACGATAAAATTTTTTTTTTTGGGTATTTTTAAAAATCCTCTCGTCATTTTTGAGAGATTAATGTGTTAAATAAGCCTACCAAATTTTATCCAAATCCATTAAAACCTGTTAAAGATATCGTGTTCACAAAAACGATCCACACACACATACACACACACACACACACACACATACACACACACATACATACATCCGGACAATTGATCAGGATCTCATATAACATGTTTCTATATAGAGGAAAATTTGTTTTCACCATTTTTAAAAAGTTTATAAACGAAAGGACTACATAGCTTCCTCCACGAGGAAGCAAAATTAAATAACAACATACAGAATTGTAATAATATTATTATTTTAAAACAAGAATATATAAAAAATACAAAATAATTGCAATTATATTCTCTTCCATTTTACTGTGATAAACGCAAAAAACAATTTTCTGCATTTCATAAGAAAAAACTTCTCATTGCATCAAAAGTTTTCGTGATTACGACTGTTTTCTGTAAATATTATATCCAATCTGAGTTTTCCTTCTACTCTCAGACTTCTTTGAAATTTTTTATAATACAATTTTTTATTTTAACATTTTTTTCCCCAGTATACAGTTAAATATTGTTCCTTTGTATACTCTTTCAACAACGATTAAATAATTGTAATTTTTTAAGTAGGTCAGTACTAATAATATCACAAAGTTAGAATTAAAATTAAATTACAAAAATTGAGTTTATCAGGTGCTTTAAAATATTAATATTATTCCAAGAATGAGAGAATATTATGAGAAATTAAAATACCAAAGGATTTTTCAACAATTTTAAAATTGTAGAAGTTGCGCCATTTTAAATTTTTTGGTATGCATTTTTTAAATATTTTTTTAATTCGAGAAAGATCGCACATGCAAATCGCTTATTTTTTAACGAAGTCTTAAGTCTTACGGAGTATGCTGTTTGAACTTTTAATTCAAATTCTGTTGTAATTAATTTTTGATGCAGTTCTAGTTGATTTAGGAACAAATTAAATTGTTATGTAAATGTTGAATTGAATTTCATTATAAAGAAAGTAAACACTGTTTTGTGAATTGTATCTTAAATTTTAATAAACGTGTTCTATATTTACTTCATATACATTTGTACATTAAATTTAATACTGTATTTCCTAACAGTGGCATATATAAATAAAAGGGATATAAATGTTCAGAAGTTACCGTATATGAAACTGCCGCGTATGAGAGATCAGAGAAAATGTACGTTGCTTAAAATGAAGGGAGTAATGTCAAGTAGGGTCCTTGGAAAATGCATGTTCTGAAGCTGATAATTAAAGGCTAAACCCTTCTGAATGCCACCGCTAAGTTATTCACTTAACCACTTATGTCTAACCCATTTACGTGCACTATCGCTGCAATAGCGATGAAATTAATTAGGGAAAGGTTTCAAGGTTGTGTGTGAAAATTGTTGGTAGCCCATAGTCACTAATAAATTGGATACGCTCAAGTGCATAAGTTTCCAAGTGATAAGATGAAACTAGAAACTAATAAATTAATCAGCAGAATCTAGTGTATACAACAATTGAGGTTATGCCATTGGAATTTGCATTATATTTGAACCTCCTCACATTCAACCGCAACTTAAATAATTGAATTTACAATGAGAACTATATTTTAAAAAAAGGAGAAAAAGTAAATTACTCTAATATGTGTCAAGCTTCTTTTTTTCGCACCTCTTTAATGGAACTTCCTTTAAGAAGCAGGAAAATAAGAAAGTTTTTCTATTTGACCAATCTTATTTGCTGCGTAGCATCTTCAATTCAATAAATAGTTTGTCAGAAGAAGATTTATAGTAACATTTTCCAACAAAGATTTTTCCTTTACTCTTACATATATATATACACTCAATCAATTTGTGGCAGTCTTTGTAACTTTGAAACAAACGAGAAAATTCAACTTGTACGGAAGAAAGTATTTCATGGTTCGTAATAGTTATTGATTGATTTACGGATTGAAGTTTTTATTAATAATATTTTACTACATCTTTGCTCCTATTTCGCTCTAAAGTAAAAGTGATATTTTCATGTATTTTTATTATCAGCATTAAGTTATTGAATAATTTTTTTATTATATGTTGAATTTATCATTTGGTCAGATGTTTAATTAAAGAAGAAGAATAATATCAATCTTTTCAAGTCAGGTCAGAAGTAAAATTAAAAAAAAAAAATTCTTTTAATGTTTCTTTAACACTTTCTGTAAGAATCTAATTTTAGAAATTATTATTCTTTATATTTATTGTAAATTCGTAGAAATTCTATTTAAATTCACTCTCTTTAATATCCAAAGTTTTGGGAGTGTCACGTCATCGTAACTCAAGTCGAATCTTGCATTCGTGTAACAATACCCCCCTTTTTTCTTAACCAATGGGCTACTGTTTAATTCAATTTTACAATTTTACACTTACACAACTATAACTTTTAATACAAATAAAAGAATTCTTTACATATAAAAACTACAGCTTCATTAAATTAATATATTTTACAACTTCCAAGGAAAAGTGATCATCATAGAGGTAATTTAGCAACTAATTCGTTTTGTCACACGTTCGTTATTCCATCGTCAATCATTTTTTTTATACATTAGATTTAGGGTATTGTTTTCATTTACCGCGCATATTTATAATACAGTCTGTATACAATTTCTTACAAATCGTCCATCCTAAAATTTCATTCACCTCAAATGTTTAGTTATTAACAATCCAAGGTTTGATATATTCAGCGCATGTACTCGTCGTTATAGGATATTGATCATCACTTACACGCTCAACATCATTCGTGTAATTTGATTTTACTCTAATAATTTTATAAGGACCGAGTTATTTAATTTTCAGTTTGCGACCGGGTATCATCTAAGTGCGCTTTAATCAGGTAATATACCAGCGCGTCATCTTCATATACGAAATCTTGTATAAGTACTGTTACTCTGCTCAATTTCATATTCAAGTTCGACTTAGAAAAATTTCCAAGTCAAGTGTTAAAGTCTCTACATTAAGAAAAACTCATCTTATTATTCAAGGACCTGATTTTCCCATAATATTTGGAAATCATCTTTACTTCCTCTTTGGAAGAATCTCATCGTTTGGCTCTTCGTCACGGCAAATTGAACTCTGGACTTATGAGCCTCATAAAACGACATCTGGTACCAGCCTTTCCTGTCATAATCAGGACACAGCAGTGATTCTTTTCACGCATCTTGCTACTGAATTTAAGTGATTTATATTTTTACCCCTAAATCCTTAATCACCTCTTGTAAAATGGTAGTAACCTTTGCATTTCTTGTTGCAGTGAAATGCTGACTTCCTATTTCCTTCAGGATTGGTTGCTTCAGGAATCTCTCTTTCAAAAGAACAATTTTTATAACTAAAACATTTGTGTCTGAATAAACTTGTAACCTTGTAATTTTAAATTTCTATATTCTCATTCTTTCCTGTACCCTTAGCTCAAAACCTTCTGCTCTGTAAATAAAACAGGATATATTACTGAAACACCTAGCGGACATAAATAAAATAAAATATTATTTCTTTAGTTATTTTCTCTTTTTGAGACGTAACAGGAGTAAGATGGCTAAAAATAATTTTAAATTAATTAAAATATTATTTTTTTATTATTTTTTGAAATTAAAATAATTAATGTGTAAAATTACCTAATGTTAAATTCAACATAAAATTAACTGAAAATGATGGACGTGATATATTCAGAGTTTGGATAGAACAGTGATACATATATATATATATATATAAGATACAACCATCATGTAATTCGGAAATAGCAATGTTGGGTAATGCGAACATTGTAGGTTGGATATCGAAATTCCCCAGGCAATTCCGCTATCACTCGGATCACTTTCGAGTTCGAGCATCGAGTCTGCTTTAGGTAAAACCCGCGAGACACTGCAGAAGATTAAACTTCAGATTTCAATTCCCAAAAGAATGAAAGTATGTTTCAGAAATCAACAAATAGTATATGTAAATTGAGTACCAGCTTAAATCATTGCATCGTCAAATAATTTTTTATTTTTAATTCAATTAATGTACTTTAATCATAACTACATCAACATCAATCACAATATGAATTTTTCAAATTCAATAAAAGAAATTACTATTTTATTTAATTTTCAAAAATTGAAATTAAATTAAAGAAATTTTAAATTAAAAATTTGATTATATTTGGATTTTAATAAATATAATGATGTGAATCAGAGGAGAATAAGTTAGTAACATTTGAGTTTTTTTTAAAGGGAGTGAAGCGAGACACCAGAAGGAATCAAGTGTCAATAATGTAGACTTGGCAAAAGAAGATAAAAACGAGGAGAGTTTAACTGGATCAATCAAAGAGGTTCTTGCTCAAAAAGGAGGAACAGCTGTTTTACCTTGCAAGCTTACAGATCCCAGCGCAGGAATAGTGAGTATAGTTATTTTAAGTTTAAATGCAAATTGCAAGTAAAATAATAGCCAATTCTTAATAAAACACTGTGGGCTGCGAATTCACTGCAATTAATGTTAGTTTACTAGTTTAATATTTTTCGAAATAATATTTGCCATAGACAAGTTATTTCAATTAATAAACCTTCAACTTTTAATTAGTGTAACCATAATCAGAATACTAATAGCTTGTGATTGTTAGGTCCATAATATTATAGAAAACTTTACTCTTAATAAAATATTAAATGGATTGATCTGAGATTTTGTGGAAAAGTCTAAAATATATGATGAGGAAGCGTAGTTATGTGCGAAAACTAAATTAATCAACATAAAATACGTAACAGTGATGTCAGCAGTGGGATTACTAATAGCGCTAGTCGCTATGTAGCGCTTTTCGTTATTTAGAATAAAAAACTTACATATTTTTAGTGAAATTTATTCTAAATCATGACAACTTTAAAAATAAATTATCTAGTTTAATGTTAAAATAATTTATAACGGAAATAAATTTTTTTAATTTAATTTAATAAATAAAATTTAAGAAAATTAATCTTATTGCAAGAATTAAAAATAATAATTGCATGAGATTTAAAATTAGGATATTCTTTACCAGCCTAAATTTAAAAATTGATAAATTTTTTAAATTAAATTGATTTAAATTTTCATTTCTTGAAAAACTCTTTAACTTACAAAAAATGCCCTATACATTTTTTTAGTGAAACCTTGCGTGAGAACAAAAATTCTATTTCCGAGGTTATATCTTCAAAATTTTTTAAATTAAATTTTTTTCCTTATTTTAGACAATGTCTAATAGAAACTTTTAATCCTATGAAAAAGATAATAAATATAAATGCAATAAATATTTAAATGCACAAAAGAAAAGTAAATAGTTTATTATTATTGGATAAAGTTGAATTATTTTCTTGATTTTTTGTAAGGATAGAAATTGGAAATAAATGTCTCCTTTTTTCTTTATTATTATTATTATGTTTCATTTAGTTTATAATTATTAATTATAAAAAAATTTAAGGTTTAAATTTAGAAATAAAAGTGTTAATATAATAATATTAAGAATTATCTTTGCCTCAAATTGCCTTTTTTATAACTTTTGAGATTTGAAGTGTTACACTTTATGAATTTGACATGCTTTTAGATATTTCTTTTAATTGATTCATTTCTTCATCGTGGGAAATCCTTATGAATTTGATACATTCTTGATTCTAAAAAAAATGGGTTAATTATAAAATAAAGCAAATATGAGAAAAAAATACACAGAAAAACAATTGTACCAACCTAAATCTATCAAAATGATACCATTTTTTTAGTCACCCGATAGCAAGAAAATTTTTTAAAGTGAATGTAGCTGTCGCTATTTGTCATCCCACTCCTGAACTAACGTCACATTGTCTAGAAATTTTCTAAGTATATTATTATAATAATTAATTCAGCAAAATATTATTATTTTAATATTAAGAAAAGATATAATTAATTGATTTCAATTTAATTATTTAATTACACTTTTGAAAGAGAAATGAATTTTTTTTCTCATAAAATTTTATATATCAGAATTTATTAATAATTTAAACTACAAAGATAAATGAAATAACTTTTATTGTTATTTATTTCTAAAAATGGAAACATAAATGAAATGTATTAGTAATTGCTATTTTTGATTAAAATTATTAATTATAAAAATAGCATAAAATAAATTAAATTTAAGCATTCTTAGAAGTTAATTTATATTTTCGTCATTGAATATTTTTTTGTTTTTTAGGAATAGATAACGTAAGTTTAATATAGGCGATTACTATTTCTAGAATAGAAATATAAGTTATTCATGAAATAAAACACTTAAATTTAATTATTTTTCCTAGAAATGGGGTAACGTTAATGGACTGAATTTAAAGACAGAAATAAGTACTATGAAAAAGATAGTATCTGAGAATATGTAATTAATTAATATTTATTAATTATATGTGGAAGTCCGCGTGAAGTGGTCACACTTTGTCGATTACAATAAGGATTATATTCACATTAATGTTTATGCAAAAATAATCCTTATTGTAAGCGACAATGTTGAACCTTTTCGTTAATTCGTTTAGCAATTATTAAATTTATATTTTTTATTATATTTGCAATTGAGTAATTAAACCTAAAAAGCCAAAAACTGATTAAATAAGCAAATGCTTATTATAAAATATAAACAATTACTTTTCATTTAAAATTGTCAACGTTTCACATTTAAAAAAATGCAAAATCATGTTATGAAATTTTGCAAAAAAAAGTGCGCACAGAAACTTGAGAAAACTACGATAAGGCTGATAAAAAAAGTTTTCTTATTAAAGTGAAGTTTTCTTTTTTTTATTTTTTACTGTTTTTGGTGAGTAGACTTTTACAACTGGCAACAAATGAACTACAAATAAAAAAACATAAATTGTATAATTTAAAATTTTATTCTTATTTTATACATTTAATTTGCAACTCTCGTGTAACGTATCTCCATAGGTCTCGTGTTACTAATCAAGTTAATATTTTAGCTTGTTTTCAAATTTAACCGAGCTACTGAAATCTCGTTATAACAAACTCTACTGCAAATTTGATTATCTGTATATATATATATATATATATATATATATGTTACACACACTAAATTAGAGGTGGAAAATTTTTATTTTCTACAATAAATTATACATAAATCTCAAAAGACAAAACTTCGAGTGACCGACATTACAATTAATTATTCAAGTTAATAATTATTAAAACGGATTAAGCGACTTCCAGGAATACTAATTTCTTAAAGAAAAGGAAGAATAAAATTTAAATAACATTAATCACTTACTTGAGAAGATCTACAATAATCAAATATCGACTCTTTTCTTGATTAATTAAATAATAAAATAATAATGGTAATTCCAAATGAATGTATCGTTGATCTTTAAAATATAACAAGATTTCTAGAAACAATATAATATAATTTAGTTGAATAAAATTTTTTCACTCAAGAGATCAAATCCGCTACATACATTAGAATTAGACGTACGGATAAAATGTGAGGAACGGATCCGGTGAATTTTGGTAATGTGTCAATATATCGAACTATTAGCGCTATGATCGATATAAGGTCGGAGGGGCGAACTGTTGACCCTTTACCCTAATCTCCCGAGTCGAAATTTTGATTCTCTTTTGATTCTCTTAAATTGTAAATTTTTGAAAAAAAAGAAAATCAAAAGAGAATGTTATTGTATGTAATTTTGATTCTTTTTTGCTTCTCGATTTTGCGCTTATACATACAAGCTAGATTTCAATATAAATTTAATTAATAACAAATTGAAAATTTTATGAAAAGAAATGGAATAAAATAAACAACAATAAATCCACAACCAATCAAATATACATGAAAAAAATACAATATAGAAGTCAATTTATTTCAATGTCCTTGAAGAGATAAAAAATAATTAGTCGATTATAAATAAATTAATACAAATACCCCGCATTATGAGCTCGCTATAGGCACATAATAATAATTAAATAATATAAAATAATTAATATTTCGACCTTTTGACATAATTATAATTTGAAATACTCTAAAGATTTTAGTTAAATCTTGATTATTAAAGACATACAAAATAAGTAAAAAAAATAAATACAATAATACTCATCCAATTTGGGGTGAGATTACAGATGAGCGCAATTGATGCACACAAGCCAAAATCCAAAAGTTTGTCGTACACCTGACTTGGGGAACCCCAGGTGATGCTTTCTTTTGCTTCATTGACCTCGCGATAATTATTCCTCCAGATGTGGTGTTTTGAGATCATTTGTATAAAAATTCAGGAATAACTAACGGCCACACTTTACACAAAAAATATAATCACTTAAATTCATAAAATAAAGTCGAAATAAAGAAAAAGTAAAACAAAGAAAATTATTCTACCTTTCCGTGTCCTCGGCCGGCACTTAAGAGTATGGCCATTCTATGTCTGTGTTGATGAGAGGCAAAATTATGACTAAACTATTCAATTCATTTCCTCGCATTGACACCCAAAATTTTAACCCCACTCTATGGCCATTATAAAAGAACAAGGAAATAAAAAAAATTATTTCAAATTAGAGAATGAAGAGAAGTAATCGAGAATCACCATGGTATAAAAGCAAAAGAGAATCAAGAGAATTAATCGAGAATCAAAATTATATCATGTATAAAAGGAAAAGAGGATCAAGAGAAGTAAAAGAGAACCAAGAGCATTAATAGAGAATCACGAGAAGTAATAGAGAACAATAGAGAATCAAGAGCATCAATAGAGAAACAACAGAGGACCAAAAGAATTAACAGAGAACCAAAATTTTTACTTGGGTCTTATTCTAGGCTATTTGATCACTATATTTCTCGAAATATAACGTCAAGAAATATTTTTTCGTCACATTATTTTTTAGTTTTATTATTATTAATCTATAGAAGTACAAGTAGAATGGGGTGCAGTTCCGAATAGCACATACCTCTGATTTCGATAAAACTTGGTATCCCTACGTAATTTGGTGCGCTGATTACGAAAATCATAGTAAAAATTGGCGGAAATTTAATTATCATGGTAAAAACCATAAAAAACACCATAAAATCATGGTTTTTTTCGATTATCTCGTAAAAAACAAAAAACTTCGAAAAAAGTTTTAGACGAAAGTTGTAGATCTCTAAAAAACACACATTTCATGTTTTATGCATTTTTTACCAAAAGTCATTATTTTTCGAGAAAAACGCAAAATAGTAAACACGGCCTTCGGCCGCGTAAGGTACTGCTCGCTTCTCTTTTTAAGAAATCTTGGCGAGAGGGGGTGGATGTGTCCGAAAGTAATTTGCAGAAATTATCATATTCACCATTACTCAGGATCCAACGAATTCCGCAAAATACTTTCGGCCATATCCACCCCCTCTCGCCAAGGTTTTTTTAAAAAGAAAAGCGAGCAGTACCTTACGCGGCCGAA